TAGGTTTGGTGTCAGCATTATTGTCTGCACTGCCTGAGGCAGCTGTGAGGTAGAGATCATTGGTTTGTGTTTGATATGCTATTTTCTCACTAACCAGGGTTGTAAGTCAGAGCACTGGCTTGAAGACATTTGATGATGTGTGATTGTGGCAGCATGCGTGCTAATCTATCATACAAATACACCCAAGTAATTTGAAAAATGTCTTCTACCAGTAACTTCACTGCTAATATTTCTATGGTCACGTGTTGCTGACAGCATGCCACCAACTCAGACTGCTCCTCTCCTTCCCTGTGGTTGTGGACAACATGAAGGTCTGACAGAGCAGATGCTTCCACAGTAGCTAACCATTCCGGTGGTGCTTGGGTTGCCTACGTGAGGAATTAAAACACTTCTCTGGTGAGGGTTTGCCATCAGGTATTGCTGTACTGCCTGGAACACGCCTGCTGTCCTTCAGTATGTCAAATGTAAGGACGCTGGATAGATCCATTTTACACCATTGATCTAACTGAACCTTTTCAGCTCCCTGGTAATTTCGTCTTTTTTTTTTTTTTTTTTCTTTTTTGTGGTTTCTTAAGCTGTGAAGAATTGATTTAATATTTCTTAGTCTCATTTAATTGCTATCACAGATGACCATGGTGATGACTTGACTGAATGGCCTGGTCTTTCCAATGGTCTGGTCTATCTGAAAGATGTAAAATTAATCCTGGCCACTCAAATGTGAAACTCAGCATTGCCAGTCAGTCATCTTTAAGGCTGCATACTCTAAATCCTAAGAATTATTTTTTATAGGTTCTGAAACTTTGATCTAGAAGCAATAGGATTGTCTTTTTTGTTGTGGTTTTGTGAGTACAAGACGCTTTCCCCATTTTGCATATAATGTAAAATATTTAATCTGCTTTTCAAATTATGTTCATTTGTTAGGAAATAATATCTAGGAAGCAAAATAAAGAAAAGTAAACATAACCACAGGGACTTTATTTTAATTTTTTGAGGATAAAAATGAGTGGAAATTTAAAAAAACAAAAAATATAACAGGGGAGATTTCTCTTAAAATGACTTTATGTTTAAAGCAATGTAGAATTTAGTAGCAGATCTATTTCTCTATAATCTTGCTTACAATTAGTTTATGGGTTACACAGTTCAATGACTGTAAAATATGGAGGCATTGCCCATTGCTATGAGTTGTCATCAATCCACTGAAGTGAATGGAAGAAGTTGAAGATCTGCCAAATGTTTGCTTTCTGTAAGCTCTGAAGTCTTTGCTTTCTCAGCATAGTGCTAAAATAGTTTTGTTCCCTCTTATTTACATGTACTGCCAGCAATTTTTTTTTCCATTTAAACCTGGAAATGTGTTACAGGGTTGAAGTGCACATGTGAGTGAGGAAATTAGGGTAGTTACTTCTAAAATGATGGATTCTTTGAGGTCATCCCCTCTTTCCATATGCAAATATAAGATGATTTCTGCACTTCCAACACTGTTGAATTTTATTTATCTTCTTACACTTTTTAGTATCTACCACTTCACACCATTTATTTTCCTCTTGCACCAGTCTGAACATCACACAGGTGGGTCAGATTTTTTTACTTGTTCTGCACAACATTTCTCTAGGTCCCCCTCTTTTCTCCTCCTGAGACAATATCTGAAGTCTAACCACTTCATTGGTAGTGTCAACAGGACAGAACAAACTGGTTTTTTTCTCTGACAGATTTTTAGTCTAAACATTGTACAAGCTGACCACAGGATGTAGGCTACAGGAAGCAGGACTGACAGGAGAAGTCCAGCCGGGAGCTATGCACACATTGACTCTTATTGGCTTTAAAAATGTTTCTTGGGGAAATACTTTGTCCTGAACTTATTCCCAAGTTTGCACTCCTTAAAAACTTGGATGTTCAACTTACTGCATTGAAAACAAATTTAGTAAAAGGAAAAAGACCTTGGGGGCATAACTGTTCCTTTTCTTCCCCTTTATTTTTCTCCAAGATTCCAATCTTGTATTAGGCTTGTCAGAGGTGTTACATATTTGGTACTCTCTTGCCTCCCACTTCTTCAAGGCCCATAAATCCATTCAACTCTATCACCTTTGTGATATTGCTAACGTACAACTCTCTTGATCAGTCCACCGTGAAAATTCCTTCTGCTGCCTTCATTTCCTCCGGTTTGGGCTGCTGTAACTCACAGCTTTTGGGCAGTTAACTGCTGCAATACTCTGTAGGATTGGTACTCACAGTAGGCTATCACAACCCAACGTTTTTTGGACAATGACCACTGTGTGCTTTAATTCCTGAAATCTTTAACAATGCAGTCACTTAATTGTGTCAAAAAACTTGAATTTGTTAGCATGTTTTCACTGAATTCCTCCTTCTAAATCAGCTTGCATTTAGTTGTTAATTTTAAGGGTCTTTTTCAGCCTCAATGATTCTATGATCATATAGTTAATAGCTTCCCTGACCTCAATTGTAGTGCCATTCTGTGTCAGATCTGTCTGCTACAGGAAATTTTTCATTCACTTTTAATTCCAGATCTTCCCTCTTCAGATCAAAGGTTCCATGGTGAGTGATTAAAAAAAGGACTACTAAGTGGGTAGAAATTGAATGGATGTGAGGTGCTTGAACAGGAAGAAAGATTATTTTTTTCTCAAAAAATGGATGCCACTTAGTTCTGCTGCCTGAAAGATGATTATAGTAATTTAAGTTGATCACAATTAGACCTTTAAATTTGCATAGCCTTGAACTGAAGCATTTTTATTTAAATTCATCACTCATTATGCCTTTACATGTACTGTTCAATGTCTGAAGACTGCATAATTTACAACAAAGAAAACAAGTCACCGAACGTAATGAGCTAAACTTCTAACAATACCCTCAAAATTCACCTGCAATTAATCACTCATGCTCAGTTGCAGACAAAAATGTTAGCTTTTACACATGTAACTGCATGTAGGCACAGTCAGACAGAACCTTTCAGTACTGTCACCCCTGTTGGATTTCAGGCAAAAGAAACAAATTGAAATACTTTTCTTATAAGGGCGAAGTAAATTATTGTTCCATAACATTAGGGTGGTAGATTACGAAGAGCTCACTAGACGTGTGTTCTGGTCTTGTTTTTATGACAGAAATAATAAAGTACGAGGCTGGAGAAACGTGCATGTTGTAGACTTGATTTGCATACAGCTGTAAAGCATTTTTAGGACTGGATCTTTGCTTAGCTGTGTGTGATTGTGATTTTTGCCTTTAAATTGCCCAGAACGAGTAGTTGGACCCAGGTCAGGAGTGGCCATGCGTTGTACACTGCTGCAGCTGTGGGGTGCAAACTTGCAAGGGTGTGAAAAGGGCATGAAGGGCTCTGTGAGCACAGGCCTCCTCTAAAGGAGCTTTTGTTTTTTTTGTGTAAACTCTGGTATAATGGCCTTTGGCATTGCGGAAAACCTTCCTATGGGAGGGAAAATGTTATGGAGCATGTGGTGCAGTCACAGTGATACTTCTGAAATACAAAAAATCTTGCGTTTCCATGAAGAAGTGGAAAAGTCTGAAAAGCAAGCAAAACTCAAACCACAACAAGCAAAAAAATAATAATTGAAATAACACATGTATCTTTTGGGTTGTCACTTTAAAATTCTGATTGATGTAACTTCTCTAGAGTAAGTTTTAGCTTTATGATTTGAATTGGCACTTTTTATGTGGTTTCCTTTTCCCCACTTCCATGCTTTCCAGGCTTCCCAAGACATGCCTTGTTCATTTGGTTTTAATTCAGTCCCAACTAAGTATCTCAGTGCCAGAACAATTCCTGTGCGGGCAAAGAAGGGAGCTTGTGATGCAGGCACTCGCTGGTCTTTATGGCCACATTTGTTCTGGTAGGAGCAGCAGCCAAAGGCTCTTCTGGGTCCTATGGCCAAATGACCTGGCACAGCTTGTATCCATGCAACTAAATTAATTGATATCACCCTAACAGGGTGACCTAATTCAAACCTACTTCCAGGAATACTCCCTGGCCTGGACTGTTTATTTTGAAACTGTACCTAAAATTGTGCCAGATGGTTTTCTGTACAGGCAGGCACGTGCAGATCTCCACCTCTGACCTTGCTGACCTTGCTGGGGTCTCATCAGCCTGTGTCAGGTGCAGGCACTGACTGGCACAGGTCTCTCTGGGCTCCCACAAATTCTAACTCTTGGGCTTTGTGATACTAACGTTTCCAAAGCTCTATTAAGGTCTCCTCTGTTAATGCCTCTGTTACATTGTGCTTGTACAGACAGGCTGATGGAAAACCCATGGAAATTACCATTTTCAAAGAAAAAGGGGAAAAGGAAACCAATTGCAAAGAAGAAATTCTTCATGTATCTCCAATAATGACAAGTTAGAGAACTGAAAAGACTGGTTTTCTTAATGCATGCATAGTTTTCACTTAAGTTTAGAAACATTTTGGTAGAAAATAATTTATAACTACCACAATGGAACGTGCCAGAGAAGAGCCAAACTCGGCACAAAACACTTGTTATCAAAGATCTTAGGGGAATAAAATTGAAGGAGCAATGTACAAAACTTCTGTGTTTATCAAATACCACCTGTGGGTCAAAAAGCATGAGTGCCACCAAGCCCTCTTTTAAGTGAAAACTAAATTAAGATCTGGGAAGTCTTTTATAGAATACATTAGGTAAGGATGTCCTGCAGCACTTTTCTGATCCACATGTGACATAAGAGCTTTCTGATTTTTTTGTAAGAGCTACCTCCACTGGTAAAAACATAAAGGGAAAGTAGTTTAGGTATGGCTTAAGAGCATGGCTTTTCCAGTCTTGGGAAATGAAGAGGATTGATATTTACACTGTCAGTAGTGGAGATATTTTATGAACTGCTGGCAACCAGCTTAGGTAGCAGAATATGTTTGTATTTATTCTGGGTACAAACAATTGCTTTTACAACACAAACGGGTTCAAAAATCCCAGACACTTTGTTTTAATGAGTAATAGTTTCACTGGCTTCATTTTTATCTCTTGTCTCCTTGCAGGTCAAAGCAACAGATGCAGATGCTGACCAGTTTGCAGAAATTGAGTATTCTCTTTATGATGGATTTAATTTTTATGAAAAATCGAAAGCTTTCCAGATTGACCCACACACTGGTCAGATCTTTGTGTCTCAAGACATTGACAGAGAAGGAGATCCAACCACTTATGATCTCTTAGTAAAAGCTACAGATGGGGTAAGTTTCACCTTTCTACACTGCCAGATTTGTGAATGCATTTGCAAATTTGGATGTCTGATATACTTTTAAATGAGCATGTAGCAACTATGTGCAAAACTGCATGAATTTGAATAAAATGTCTTGTCTTTAAAGAGAGCAGAAAATTCTATTCATGAATTGTGAATTTCTACACAAACTAATACAATTGGCTGGGAAATACCCAATGACTCCTAAATAAAGTCTGGAAAAATGTTTCTAGGATGTTAGTCCTTGCTAATTTTCCTCCTCCTATTGGAACCAATGGACTCCAAGTTACTTCTGCTCCCTGCTTTCAAGATCACTGCAGCAGTAATAAGAGAGTACCATGGGCTAGAATTGCATGGCTACTGTGGGTGACAGTGACTTTCCTGGGTAAGTTCCTTGTCCTTTCTAGCTGTCTGGTGCCATTGCTGCTGCTGTGGCTGGGTGCAGCCTCCCTGCAGCTGCATGTCTGCAAGCTTTCCCACTTCTCAAGATCTGGCGCTTGGAAGTGAGCATTCATGGTACAGCAAGGGCGGGGTAGTTGTAGTGCCTGAAATAGTCCATTGCAGATCCTGGCAAGGAAGGTGAGGAGACATTTCTGTGGTGTGAACATGTTAAGATGTCTGGGGATGGATCCCTTGCCCACCTGATGCCATGTAACAAAAGATTTTGCTAGTAAGCTCCAAAAAATAATGGGAGAAAACTATTAATTATATTTTCATTATGAAATATTCATTTTGTGGTTTGCAGTCTGAGGTTGTTCCTTTGTAAGGCCCAGTTTGTACTTGTCTTTACCTTCTTCAGCTTAATGGTAAATCGTGAAGAAGCTGAAGAAGGTTATTGGTTGCCTTCAAATGTTAAAATTAACATAAGGACACTTTTTGAAATGTTATTCAGGTCCCATTTTGCAGTACAATTTGTCCTGAAAAACATTGAAATTCAATTATTTCAGACTAAGTAGTTTTTATTTCTTATTTTGAATATTAAAATTGCATTTAAGATAATGTCCTAAATGTATCTAATATAACTTTTAAAAAAATGCAGTTGTCTTAGAAATGCTGTGTTTTTCATTAAAATGCCTGTGGGGTTGTTTTATTGTACACTGAAGAAACTTAGTGAACTATGATTTCTATACCTATGAGTAGGTTCACTTAAGCAGCTGCAGTTGATGGTTGTATTAATTATTTCATTAAGAGAATTAATTAATTAATTAATTCATTTTGAGAATGTAGCCATTGAGGGTATATCTGTTTTGTTGAATTCAGATATTTGTGTAATCGTTAAACAATGTTTTTTCTTTAGCTGTCCCAATTCAGTGCTCAATTCAGAGGCTGCAGAAATATTCTTTAATTAATATTGCCTTTAGCAGTGTGCTTTTTCTTCCTCATAGATTTCTTTAGAGCAGAAAAAAATTACATAAATATATTGGTATATTTGTTTCCATACTCATCTGATTTTAATGTCTAATAACTTGACCCTGCTTATTGCAGGGGCTTTGAAAGGTGTCTTTGAAAGATGACTTCCTTTGAAAGGTCTCTTCCGACTCAAACCATTCTAAGATTTTAATATAAGGATATAGGAGTGGGTTTTTCCAGGACAGTGCCTGTAATGTCTATAGCAGAGGTAGTTCTCTCTGACCATTTTGGAATTTCACTTGTATGGGATTTCTGCCTTCAAAACTTATACTTGAATCCATATATCCAAAAAAATTTTGAAGAGTAAAGCAGTCTGTATTGAAATGTATAACACATAAAATTAGGCATTCTGCTATACTTCATAATTTCATTTTTCCTATCATTCTATCATTCACATGTTTTGGAGCTGTATAAATGTAAAGGACACATACACATGTCTGGAATATCAAGATGAATCATTAATAAAGGGTATGTGAGAGCTGAACAATAGCAGTGAAATTCTGAAAATTTTCTAAGATATTCAGTCAGCTACAGAAAATTAATTTGAAAACCTGAAAGAAAATGTTTGCGTGAACAAAAACTTCATGCCTTAATTTTTTTAGTTAAATTACTGCTCTATTGATAAATCTTAACTTAAAGGAAAATAGCCAATGCATTGAAATGATAGGGTATTATTTTTTAAATTGCTATGTCATTTATCTCCATTTATGGACCTTGTGTTTTCAGAAGTTCAGTAATGGGGAGAAAGGTTCAATTTTTTATTGCCTTGTTTGTGACAGGCAAGGCTTGATCTTTTTACTGGAAGTCAGCACTTTGTAGAAGTTTGCCTGTCTGAGACCTAAATACTAAAGCACCTAAATTCAATATCAGCTTTTCAAATTTTCAGTGCATCTGAACTTGTGTTGACCAACTCTCTACCCTTAAAGCAGAATTGTAGTAGGATATTTATCCTATTTCCTGACATTCTGCTGCTGATTTTGATGGATTAAAGATGTTAGGTGTGGGGCTCAAAGTGGAGGCTGTGATCAGGGGAGAAATGTGCACAGAAAGAGAGAGAGGAAGGATGAAAGGTCACTTGTGACAAAGAAGGTTAGAGAGATGAAAAGGAAAGAAAATAACCCAGTTAATTAGAAATGAGGAGGAAAATAAAGTATTTTCCAGGTGGTGTGCAATTTATCTTACAGCTAAACTATCAGTTTCCTCCACCTGTTCCTGGCTACTCCATTACATGGCTTTAGAACTTGTCAGTCATGTCTTAGATGCATTGAGTAGAAAATGTAAGGAGTGAACTTGAATTGTACACAAGAGCCCATGGAGAGGCAGGTGGGAAAGAACTTCTGTTAAACTGGTTTTAAATAAACATCCTGTGAGAGCTTGTGGGAGCACTCTCACTGATTAAGCAATGATGAAAAGAAGTATCATTGCCTCTTCTATATGAAATTGTAGATCTTCAGTTTTTCACCTGCTTCATCATCACTGCAAAGGGTTCAGTACACCATCAGCAGGGGTGTTAGTGACTCCCTTACTGCCTTTCTGCAGAGAGACACTTTTCCCCTTGCTTTTCAGTAATCCACTCTGCCTATCCAATTTTATTTGTCTTTTACATTGGAGCAATTAAAATCTAGATATAAACACTGGACATTCACAGGCAAAGCTTCTGAAGAACTTAAGGCTTTTGAAATAATTGCAGACATCTCTCCACTTTGACAGCATTACTTCAAGATGATATGTCCTTTAGGTTTACAAAAAAAAGGCCATTATGTCAGAGATTCTGTATCTAACAGTCCAGTTTGGAACAAAAATTTGATAGTATGGTTCACTGACAAAAACTTGGAAGGTTGTGATGAAAATCTTGATAGAGTTTTAACCATTTTACAGCACCAAAATAAAGAAATACAGCTGCTCAAAATAGCATAAATTTTACTTATTAAGACAGAGTTTCCCCTGCCCAAGGCAGGATTTTTTTTTTTAAGACTTGATAAAGAGGTCTACTAGCTTTAGCTATTTACATACATTTGATCCTTCTGAAGTAATGAAAACATTAATTGTTGTTATTTTGACTTGATGGTAGTTTGTCCCCTTTTTCTTCCATGAGGGACAGAACCCTCAGGACTCTGACAAGTCATTGTAGAAGTGACTTTGTTGCACCAGAGAGTACAACAGTAGTGAAAAATACTTGAATATTTGAGATAAGGGATTTTAAAATGAACAGCTGTGGCTTTCTGCTCCTTGTTAACATGTTTTGACAAGTGTAATTTTCTGTCAGCAATAGATCTTATATAAGTCAGCCTTCATGTTTTGGAAGATAAATGTTTTGCTTGCTTCTGAGCAGATGAAGTATATCCACATCATTAGAAATAGGAGTTTTAGTTCCTTCTCAATTGGAATGATGCTTTTTTTCAGATGTCAGCACAAGAATTGGGCCATAACCAGTTAATATCTTTAAGTTATTAAGTAAATGTCAAACTTGGCATGTGAAAGTATACACTGCTTCTTCAGGAAAGGAAGATTCTGTCTCCATCATTAAATTTGGTCAGTTTTCTTAGAGAATAGAAATTTCCCTATATACTTACAGTTAATCAATTTCAAAAGACTTTTCAGTCTTTACATAACTCTGTAGCACAAATACAAATTGGCTGAAGAATGGGGTTTGGGGATTTTTCATGTCTGTTTAGCAATAATGAAGCTTGAAAGAAACAGCTTAACACAAGCTCTTGTGAGTTTGGTCTCATGCTGTTCCAACCATCTTTTTTAGATACTTTTTATTCTTGACTTCACTTCTTCCCTAGTCCTTTTCCCTTAAAATACTTCTGATTTCTGTTCTAAAGTACCTGAAAGCTGTGAACACACAGACCATATTCTGACAGTGAGCAGAGCACATTCCCTCCCCTTCCCCTGCTTTCCTTTTTTAGCTCCTGTGCATCCCTCATCATGGAAATCAAGGTACTGGGGAAGGGGCTTGCCCTGAAGTGGAGGTGTTGGCATTGGGCTCACTGCCATTTCCATTTCGCCATATTGGCATGGGTTTCATGGCAGTCCCAGTAATTTGTAGGCTGATTGATTACTGTCCTTTAGAGTCCTGGTCTCCAGGCAAGAGTGCTGGCTGCCTGTGCAGCAGCATGAGCCCTGGAAGCATGCCATGCCTTATTTTCTTCAGAAGCACACCAGGAGGATGTGGGATAGATCTCTTTGTTTGTGGGTGAAACGCAGACACATGATGCATAAGATCATCTTAATTTTCCACTTACTTGAGCTTTTATGGGAATGTCACCTTACCCAATAGAGGTAACATTTACAGCACAGAAAAAAAACCCAAACCGGGCTAAACCCAAAAATCACTATGAAAATGTGAAGGTAAATGCTGATAATGTTTGTTTTTATTAAAAAATAAGTCTGAACCTAAGGACACACTAAGCAAACACTCAAAAATAGTGTTGTGGGAGATTGTTATATAGTAGGGTAAGTCTAAAGGAGTCATATCCAGTCTGAATCCTTGGATAGTTTAATGAAGGTCAGGTTTAAAAATAATTGGTGTGAACAATTGGACTGCAGAATTATGCAACATAGTTGGTTTTGGGTTGGTGTGGTTTTCTCTGTATCACAGCTACTGTGACTGCAAAATGAAGTTTGCACTAGCTCAGCATAGTTTGTGTGTGCATAACCATCTGATCTGTGTCAGCAGTTTCTCAAAGTGACTGCTACAAGCACAGCATGCTCAGTGGACTTTGAAGAGCTCAAGATTCTTCCACCATCTGTATTTTAATGTACCACATAAAGCACATGCAGACTGTACATGCTTGTGCTGTTTTGTGCCTCTGAGCATGCCAGTGCCCCAGAATTCACTGTTATCTCTGCCACAGTGGACCTGCTTTCTTTTAAAAATGCTTGTACTTCCTATGGCTACAAAATAGTCCTGGAAAAATGAACCCCTCCAAAGTAATGGGGGGAGTCCTCTGAGAAGTAAATTGCCACTAGTTTCACTTGGGTGCCTGTGGGGTCTATACTTCAGTACCCAGAGAATTGTCGTTTTTGCAGATTGTCAGAAAATTCAGCGCTTTGTCATAGCAAATCAGTATTTTTCTGTAGTATGGTGTTATAAGCCAGCTTGTAGCTGCTCCTTTCTTCTCTAGTTTCACTCCAGAGCAAGGCTAAATGTTGTCCCATGTGGTATTCTAGTGGGCTTTTGTAGGGCATCTGTCAGTAAATTGAGCATAGGTATTGCAGACAGCAGCCTGACAGGTCAGGTTTTGGCTGTCCTGCTTTTAGTTTGTGTCCCTGGTTGAAAAAGCCTCATGTTCACCATTATGATAGTCATGCTTTTACATCTGAAAGTCTCATAGAGAGAAGTTATTCCTGCTTTGCTGGAGCACCACAGTCACCTGAGGGGCATGTCTTCCTGGAGCATAAAGCCCTGATTTTTATCTGTAAAGGAATAAGTGGAGTGTTGGAGATGTCAGCAGAAGCATGTGAGGTTAGACTAGCAAAGTTTTTGATGTGTGTTGCTCATTAGCATTAACTAAACTGACTTTTTGTGTTCAGGCCTTGCTGTTGTAGAGAAGCTGAATTTCTTTATGCACTCCATCAGCCCTTGGTGTTGTGCTGAGCAACATAGCTTACTTCTGTGCAGTGTTTTGGGGTATTGCAGATACTGTAATTTGCTTTTAATGGACATTTTCATTGATCCATATTGTTGCAGCATGCTCCACTTCCTAATGACGGACTGAAGCCAGCTGTGTACCATCCTATTTTAAAAGTTCTCTTGTTTTTTGTTCTTTTATTTCTTATTTATCCAACAGGGTGGTCTGAGTGCCCAAGCTTTTGTTCGCATTGAAATAGAAGATATTAATGACAATCAGCCTGTGTTTGAACAAGACACCTATGTGACAAGTATCAGCAGTCACACACAGCCAGGAACAGAAATCATCAATGTTGCTGCCACAGACAGAGATTCAGGAATATTTGGCATTGTCACATATGAACTAGTCCCAGGAGAATTTTCTTCTTTTTTCACAGTGGATTCATCCACAGGTAGTGTATGTGTCTATGATTCAGAAAGGTTATAATTATACAAGATAAATGTTCTCTTTAATTATGCTTTTTGTATTTGGAGTCATGTCACAGGGGTGAAACTTAGATTCTGATGGAAGATAATTCTAGAGGTAGATGGGGGATTTAGGTTTAATGTGAAACTTTTGCATTTACTGGAATAAGCAGAAAAATGGAAAGCATGGTACATGACAGCACAATGAAGGACAAGCAGCATGCCACATATCCACTATTTTCAGCCGTAAATCTATAGATCATTGTAAGAAATAATAAAATATTGCTTTTTTTCAAAAATATCTGCATTTCTAAAATTCTTAGGGCTTACTCTTGAAGAGCAATAAAACACCCTTCACAATGTTCCTCCTTTCATTTCTTTTCTATTTCTGTTCTAATCTTCCTCTGTGCTAGGATAAGTCCTCATTCTGCTCAGTCTTACAAGGCATATTTGCCTCCCTGTTTGATTCAATGTTTAGCTTTATAACTGTGCTTTTCAATAAGTTATTGACTAAACTGAAATTGCCATTTTTCTTGAGGGCCAGCCCTTGCATGTGAATGTATCCTGATGAACAGATGGTCATGGCACAGATTATTTATATGTTTAAGATCTTTTTAGGCTCTGATACATTTGTGTATATATTAGGTCTTTGGCATTCAAAATCTTGCAAGGTTCTATTCTTTCTAATAGGTGTCTATTTTTACACAATTCCCAAAACATTCTGATGAACAGAAAAACTAATCTTCTTAGGAAGTTAGGCTGCTTGTCTTGGCTATTTCAGAATTTATTTAACTGTGGACTTTTAACTACCTGTCAAGTCAGGTTCTCAGGGGCATAACTGATGTCAAAAATGTGTAGGTCAGTCAATCATTAGGGAGCTGGATCTCCACAGGCATTTAACTGGTCATTTTAAAACTGTCCCATCAGGCTTGTTGAAGAGAGCCCCTGTGGATCACATTAGCAGCACTGGCTTTGCAGCAACCCTCTGCTGAAAGAAAGCCTTTTGAAAGGTTTCTTCCTTGGATTGTGACCTTTTGGCCTCTCTTTCCCGTTTGGCACTTTGTATAGGAAAAATGTCTTGCTTAATGATGAAGACTCTATAAGCTTGTAAGTTACTATTACCTCATGGATCTATCATGGTATTTTATCAAAGGCTGACCAAATTCAGGGTGAAGTTGCTTGAGGTCATTATTGCTGACATTTCATGATGAGAAAAGCTCTTAGGTCAGACACTATTCCCTGCATTATAGTGCTTGGAATCTGATTGCACTTAATCAGATCTCGTGGGTAATTCCCAAGGTCAGACTGTGTCTAATTTTAACTTATTAATATTAATGCTGTGTCTCTCTTTTTTTCTGAATACATTTTTTCCATTTATATTCTTCCATGCCTATTGAAAGTAAGGGCTTATGCTCAGTCACTGGTAAGGCAAATGATTTTTAAACTATAAGAAAAAAAAAACATTTTAAACAAAAAAAAGCCCTAACCCCCCCCCCCCCCCCCAAAAAAATGCCCTCAAAAACCCCAAAACATTAAATTGCCTATATGTCACACAGAAGTTTTGCCATCTTTAAGCTTGAAAACCTGTCCAGTATTCAGAGAGAGATGAAACAAGTGGCATACTGTTAGGGCACAGAGATTTTGAGCTCTTCCTCCTTACTTCTTGTTACAACAGAGACGTTTTCCAGTGTTCATTGTGCTAAAGCTGTCTTTATATGCTCTGATTTACAGCCTAGTTTAGCTGTGCCTCTCTGAAGGTTATGTGGGGGACTTCATCTAGTTAGCTGGGCAGCATTTTGTGGACAGAGGGCAACAGACAAGTGTGTGAAGGCATAGGCATTCTCCAGGTGATGGGTGCTCAAACCAGAAAGCCAAATGAGATATTACAGCTTGGCCTCTGTTTTTCTGATTTTATGGCTGTGCAGTCTGTTTCTGTTGTGTTCTTTATTTTTTCCACTTTATGTATGTATGGCATATTCTGTTTTATCTGCTCTTCTCATTATTAGAGGACCTGAACAGAAGGACAATGATGGTGTTGGAGAATTCTGTGGATTTGGCTGCCTGATAAGTTTTATTTTTTCAAATAATTTTTTCTCTCGCTGATAGAGAATTTAGAAAGGAGAAATGAAAATCAGTGCATTAGTAATTTTGACTTACTATGTTCATTTTAGCCCTTAATATTTTACGTGGACAGAGATATTCTCAGTATTATGTGATTTAGAATAATTAGTGGCAAATGGTGTGTCACATTACACTGTGATACATTAACATAATATGCAACATGATGCTGTTGTCCATGACGTATGTAATTTTTCTCTTTTTTTGCATTTTCCCTTTTTCTTGCCATGAAAATTTCTCACTGTAATTTTCTTCAGGGATGTTTATTGAGTGCTGCACTTCAAATATTCACTAAAAATTGACTTTTGGATTTTCGGAAGATAAATGGATAAAACAGTAAAATAACAGTTGAAAACCAAATTCTTCATTGCTGTCTTGCTTCTGGCTCTTGTTTGTTAAAGCTCTTAGTTTTTCTATGAGCTGTGTTCAAAATATCCTACCAGCTGGTCAACTCCTCACTATATACAAAATAACAATACTGCTTTTGATACATAGATATTATGAGGTTGAGGCACATCCAGGCTCTTTGAAGGGGCTCCATCTTTGGTTTCGAGCACTGGCACATGTGGATGTTGTAAATAGATAAATTCAGTTGGAGCAAGAAGGAACATCCTTTCATTGACCAGACTGACATTCCACTGAATTCTTTTTCAATTCTAAACAAGATTTTATTACTTATATTTGTTTGCTATGTTAGCTTTTAGACACTGCATTTATTGTTTGTGATATGCTCTTGTCCTCATAAATAACATTTATTATGTTTCCATTTTTGAAAAAGTTGATGTCTTTTTCATTTGATTGATGATAGACTTTCCACGAGAAAAACCACTTTAAGAACTGTGTAACTAGAAAAATGTATGGATAGTAAACTGTAAACCAGCTCTTCTGCTGGTTCGTGACTCTTGCTATCGTTTGTTTCTAGTGTTGGTGTAAACAACATCTTGGCTTCATTATGTTGCCTTTTGTAGATATCTGATCCATGCATGATCTATGAACAGTACTCGTGAATTGATTAGAACAGGGCAAGTTGAAGAGCTCTTCTGGCTAAGAAACTGTTTGAGCTATGTTTGTTTATTTTCTCATTGTTACCTAAGAAGCTATCTGAAACACAATGTATTTATAGTTATGGCTGAGCTGGTAATTAAAAATGTAAGTCACAGGATGCAATCATAAGTGTGGCAGAAAACCTATGCAGTGCTTGACTTTAAGACTTTAGGATTAACAACCGAATTAGTAAACTTCCATTACAATAACCGCATTAATACCTACCTTCACCCAAGGGCATGTAATTAATTTTACCATTGATCTTAGTGATGCCCTTTTCGAGAGATTGGTAGAAAGATGGTTATCATCATGATCATTGTTCTGGTTCAGAGAAGTTGTTTCAAACCAATGAAATTGTAATCCTTGAAAATTATTCTGGGCTAGTGTGACTTCATGTGTCAGTCTTCAGGTAAATAGATTGTTCATAGATTTTAAAACAAATCCCCTAGCTAGTCCCTGTGTGCAGAGAAAACTTCCATGGATGCTAAGCAAAAGGCAGCAGCCATGGTTTGTCTTCAGATGAATGTATTTGTTATTTGAACCTAGCATGAAAACCATGTAGAGAAAGTATAATTCGCTCATTGGATGTTACAGCAGTATAAGCATTTAATTTATCTTCTGTTTCTTTCAATTTCTGTAAGATATTTAGGCTCATGTTTCTGTGATTCCTACCTAAATTAGGTGCCTAGAACAAAGGCTATGACCTTTCTTTTGTGTATTTTATTGAGAATGTGTCTGTCAATATGGCTGATAGACCTGGGCTGGATGCCAGGTGCCCACCAAAGTCACTCTATTACTCCCCTCCTCAGTTGTGCAGGGAAAGAAAATGATGACAAAAGGCTTGTGGGTCAAGAAAAGTGCAGGGAGAAATCTCTCAGCAATTACTGTCACTGGCAGAAGAGACTAAATTTGAGGAAATGACTTTAATTTATTGCCAATCAAATCAGAGGAGGGTAATGAGAAATAAAAACTGCATCATAAAAGACATTCCCCCCATCCCTCCCTTTTCCTGCACTTAACTTCACTCCCAATTTTCTCTGTGTCCTCTGGCCCCAGCAGCGCAGGAGGATGGGAAATGGGAACTGTGCAGTTCATCACAGATTGTCTCTGCTGCTCCTTCCTCCTCACACTCATCTTCTGCTCCAGCATAGGTCATTTCAGCAGGGTCCAATCCTTCAGGAACAGAATGATCCAATGTGGGTTTCCTCTGGGGTCACAAGTCCTGCCAGCAAACCTGCACCAGTATGAGTTTCCCATGGGGTCACAGACTTCTTTGGATGTCCATCTGCTCCAGCGAAGGGTCTTCCATGGGCTGAGGGTGGATCTCTGCTCCCCTGTGGACCTCCATAGACTGCAGAGAGACAGCTGCTGTAGTGCCACATGGCCAAAGTGCCACAGCCACTCCTGTAGTGCCCACATGGCCAAACCCTTGCCGCAAAAACACAGTACACTGAAATACTTGGAGATCTTGCCATTGACTTGAAGATACTTGGATCACCCTTCTGTAATAATACTTTCTGTTACTTATTTATGCCAAAAACCACATTGTGAGGAGAGCAGACAAGCCTTGTTACAAGAGCTGGTTAGTAGTTGAACACTTAAAAAACAAAAACATAGCATAAAAAAAAATTCAGCAGAGAAGGGCAGCTCCTGCAAAATGAATGTTCTTTTGTGGAAATTTTGACTTTAGGATGCTCCCTTTAAGATGCACTCTGATTTCTTTTTAGCAAAGGGCATCATGTGACTAAAATGTCCTGTAAAAGATTTAGAGCAGTCTAGGAGCTTAGTCTGTTGGCAAAGAATAAAAGGATAAATACACCTAAAG